AACACAAACAATCACTTATTTTTATTTTGTTTATTTATCTTCGTTTTATGCATGTTGGGGTATATTTGATTCTGTTTTCTTCAAGAATCCAACGACTGATACGAATAATTTTTCGTTCTATCACATATTAGGGTTATTTACTTCCAGCAGATCCAAAACAGATGAGCTACAAGTTCATAAGCATATATCCCATCACCAGACATATCTTTAAAGCTTTGTAATTCACGTTTCCAGATAAACTGGTAGATAAAATTTGTCATTAAACAAAGAGAATAAACTTGATGTTGAAATTAACATTTAGTATGTCTCATTTTGTTTTTCGACATACAACTAGCTATTCAATACATATCGTAATCATCCTATAGAAATAACACAAACATTCATTCCTTCATTTTTATTTTGTTTATTTATCTTCATTTTATGCATGTTGGGGCATATTTAATTCATATAATACATCCAAATAGTATGTTTTTTTAAGAATTCACCGGTCAGTGGTGATAAATAGTGAATGAAATTTCTTCTCACACCTCAGACTGATTTACAATCTGTTATCTCAACATACATTTCGTTGCAGATCACAAGTCTCATACAACATTATATCAAATAATTACTTTCAACATTGTTAACATGATTGGATGATCTATTCAGTATACAGTTAACTGAAGAACTATGTTTCTATTTATATTCGATAATTTTGATATTTGATTATATTTCTTTAAAAAAGCTTTGACTAGATTGCCAAAAGAAACATTGGAATTACTTCAAATTTATTTATTAAGATTATACACATATTACTATTTTTCCTTGTGTTTTCAGTAAACGAAATCCTTTCGGTATTAAATATTCTTAATTTCATTTAATATATGAATGAATAAAATGATTTTTGTTTTAGAAAAACAAATGGTTATTTCATAGAAATCATGTGATATGTACAGTTTATTATTCATTCCATCAACAACAAAAGGGAAAAAATCTGTTGTAATTTTCACTGTATAATCTCTGGGTAATTTGCTCTTTAGATATTGTAAATGAACATAAAATAAATGTATTCTATTTTATTTAATATTTATCATGATAATATTGTAAAATGATGTGATAAAATGAAATAAATTTGAAATAAAATTAAGGTTAAATGAACTTGAACAACATAGAAACAAAGCCCTCAAATGGTTTGATACAAGTGAGAGTGGGGAGAGTCAGCTCACCCTCTCGAAATACTCTCACATGTTTATGTTTATACAACCCCTGCAAATGAAGTCCTATTAACTGCCTTCTCGTCATAAGGGTGTTGTTTACGAAATTGAGAGGACGAAAAGCAAATATCCAGTGCTTTAAACGGGTTGTCGGTTATGGAGGATCCATCTAGGAGAGTTAGAAAACCCTGATTCCAAATTAATGGTGCACATGAGCTTCAGGATCCTAAGGAAACAAATGGCGTATAAAACAATTGTTGGTCACTGGCTAACATGGGACTGAATCTGCTTACATAGCTCTAATGCATTGTGGATCAGACCTTTAGGTCAAAGGCTCGGGGTGTATACCTTAAGAAAACCACCAGCTTGGGCACCCGGACAGTATTTCAGCGCTCACACGAATTGAGAAAAAAGTTTGCTAATAGCTCAGTGAATATCTATTCATCTTCTATGTACATTATTTGTAATTTATCAAGTCAATGAATGTAATGTATTATTTGTTCATTTTCTCACGAAAAGTTTTTTTTTGAAAAAATCTATGTAAATAATAGTGATGTCACCAGTAACTGGGCAACCGCACAAGTTGTTTACATTATGGATAAATCAGTAAACATTTATGAGAAAAATTTATTTTTGGTTTTAAGATATGTGAAGATTGTAGTATTTTCACAATAGATTTTATGAGTCAGTTGTGAATTCTCACTGTTGAGAAGTTTCATTACTAGGACGAAACAGTCTAGTTTACATCAACTCCTGAATTCGGTTGTATAAAATCTATTTACCCAAAAAAATCATTGATGACAATTGAAAGTATAAATGATAAAAGCTTTAAAATTGGTAATATAGTTTGATTTAGAAATTTGGTAAAATTCATAGTTATGTATTCTAATATGTTGGGAAACTGCAACAACGATAATTCATGCAAACCGGTCAATTCATTTTGAGTTAAGTGTGGTGTTTGAATGAACTAATGATACCTTTGTACTTGTTGGATGCTTGATTTCGAATTCTAAATACAATACATTCGTTCGTGCTTTTCTAGTACTTCTTGATTCGATTGCGTTAATTCTGGGATTCTTATTTCATATGATAATTCAAATAATTCTGACATTATATTAAGTTAATATTTTTCTTTGAGAACGTATTCATCAATATTCTGATGGTCTTAATTCAGAAGAATATAAGAAGAAATAAGTAATTTTATTAGGATTATGGATTGTTTTCATTTAGATAACCATTGAAAGCATAGATTGAGTAAAGTCAAACTTGGATTTCTGAATTAATGATCTGTATGAAAGGGATTTACGTGTGAAACCGTAGGTTCTTGAATGTTAAAGGTTCATTGATGAGGAGTTTTTAATAGTTATCTAATCTTGAATGACTTGTTCGTTATATCAATAAAACTCAGCAGCTTCCATAAGTTTAATAATGGCTATGAGTAATCTGTTACATTTATATCTGGATAATTTCTCATTTAAAAAAAACGGTTATGAATTATAGCATTTATTCTAATTTAAATAGAAAAATCAGCTAAGGAAAACTTTATCTTTTATGTAATGTCGTTTTTAAAGAATAGTAAACAAATAACTGCCTTCTTTGACAAAACATTGATAACAATTCATTGATTTTCTTTGAGACCTTCGGCGTCGCAAGGGAACGCTTAATTTCTAGACCACTAAACCATCGATCGATTCATGATCACAATCAAAGTTTAACAATTTCTACAACCATGTACTGATAAATACTTTTTAGTTATTTCTGAAAATATATTTTACATATGATCACTTCATGAACATCAATTAACTAGATACGATTTTCGAGTTAATAACGTTATACTACTAGTTGTTTTGATGTATAAGCCTTAACAGGTGTATCAGCCATGGACTCCATCAAGTGATAAAGTTTGATTATTAACTATATTTAAACAACTGGAGAATGAAGGGGATATGGTTTTTAAATAATTTATTATCACTTATGATTATAGATTATTTTAAACGTCCTACTCACTTTTAAGTAGATTTATAAAACAAAAGCACTTCGAAGGTTAATTCACTTAGAAGTAACTTGATATAACGGTAGGATAATAATATTTCCTGCTTACCACAATATACTACCATTATGGTCATTACGACCGGTGACCAAGCTCATTCTATCACTACATTGCATACTTGATCGGTACACATAAACAGAGAGTATGGGTGAAACAAAACTTTATTCAACACAATTACAAGCAACAAACACTCAATTATCGCAGCGAAGAAATCAGTAATGATAAGGGACTCATGTAATTAATCATCAGGAAGCTGTGCGTCTTGCTCACTTTCACTAGCCATATATTATAACCTCATGAGTTTTTTATGATAAAAAGTTTTCGCATAAAACAGAATATCCATATATTGCTCTTCAACGACTTTCTGATTACTAGTAATAAATTTTGACAATTAACATTCTATAACAAGTAGTATAACACATTACGATAGCCTAATATATTTCAATATATACTCAAATATCTTAGTATCGAAAGTGAACAGCAGGAGTACTCTCAGAACCCAGTAATAGAATGGATCTTCTTGAAAAGTTGAACTATGTGGTCAAATAGAAGGATTATGCAAACATTATACTTAAAATATTTTTACCTAATACCAATGAATGTTGCCGTGATTTATGCAATTAACTCTTAAAAGTGTACTTATCATTTACACTGAATATTCATCTTCCTCAGTTTATCTGATTTTACCCAGATACATGATTATTTGTATGTTCGAATTAAAAATAATATACTGGCCGATAAAATGTGAATGAGCAAATGAAAATGATCAAGAATTCAGCATAATGTTGTTTTCTAATTATAGTTGTGCCGTACCATCCTTCGTCAATTAAACTGATTTTGTAATTGTTCAGTAAGAATTTCAGAACATCCTATTTCAATAATAATTGAATGCAATTTTCTACTGAACCAATTGAGACCGTGTGGTAATTTGACATGGTAAATGATGTTAAATAAAATGGCAGTACACTCGGACTTATAAGCTGTTTCCTATACATTCATACAAATGAAGTAGTCATAATATAGTCGAACCCAAGATAGAACTTACATAATTGTTAATCATGCTGACTGATTAATTACTTTTTGTACTTACTCTTCTCGTTTGAGATTCAAAAAGAGCTAGGACTACCTATGGTACCGATTAATTTAATTATCAATTTCTTCTTGTTGGCCATAAATTTAACACTTCTTCCGACAGTGATGCTTGCACGGAAATACATTTGATGTTCATGAATTATTAAAGAATATATCGGATTTATCATTCAAAACAATCATCTTTGAGCTTTTAATTATATAGCTTTCTAAGGAACCATCTTTGTTAATTTCGTAACATTCAATGTTGTTAAGCAGAATGACTAATATTTATTTTTAATTGAGATCATGAGTCGATCCAACCTAAACCACCATTGAAAACCTTGATGCACTAGATGGCCATTTTGTCTTAGTATGTGACTCCTTAACAGTGTTCATCCATGATTCCGCACACTGGACTCGAACCCAGGACCTTTGGTCTCGCGCACGATCTAACATCGTTCGATTCATGACCTTAATCAAGAACCTAACAATCTCCACAACTACATACTAATAATATTTATTTACTGTTAAATATTTGACATTTTCAAATAACATTTATCGTTGTCCAATTGTATTGTATAATGTTAAAAAAACTTATTAAAACTTTGTGTTTTTTTCTGTTATTAACCCATTAAAATCAATCAAGATTTGCGCATAATTCCAAGAGAATGAGAAGACGAGCCTACCTGAAGTATAATTTTATTTACAATGTTTATCGCTGCATACAGAGCAAATGATGTGAAGTCATTTTGACATATATATACGTCATATAAAAATGAGCTAACATACCGGAAATCTTTCTTTCTACATAAAAGTAATACACTCTTTATTTAGATTGTTGATCATATATTGGTAGGTACTTGTCATTTGTTATAACATAATAAACTTGATTCGAAATTTCATTAATATATATATGGAAACTTGATATTTGAATACTACATCATTTGAGATGTTTCTATTGAAGAACCTGTACTGAATTGTCCATTATTTAATGTATCAATAAATCCATGTATATATTGTGTTTTTAAATAATCATTATCAGAAACATTTAAAATAACTTTATATTCATTATCTTTGAAATATTTATCTGGTATATATTGTTCAAATGTTTTAATTGGAAGCTCGTTAACATTGAAATGCATTGAATCTATTTTAGGTAAAGATGTTTTTATTAAATTGTATTGATCTATTCCTGTTGATGATTTTCTTGGTAAATTTATTGAATCAGTTACTAAGATAAAAGGTGTTACTGTAGTATTAGAATAATTGATTTTATATCCACTGATTGATGTTCGATCACATAGTGAATGTGATTGATCATCTGAAACTGATGATAATTGTTCTTGATTTTGTTTTAATCGTTTAGATATCATAGTATATCTTATATCATCCATGCTTAATAAAGAACCTACTGAAGCAGTTCTATAAGTAACTGATGTTGGAGAGAATTGATGTAAATGACTCATTTGCTTTGTTTCAGTTAATTTAGAACAATGTGAATCTACATGTTTATTGCGATGACATCTATAAGCTAGAAATGTAACTGAGATTAACATTATTAGGCCAGCACCGGCTAAACTAATTAACAGCCAAATATTAACTTGTTCATGTAAACGACTCATTGTTTTAAACACTTTCCATTTATTATATTGTAAATAATTTGTCTGTGAATGAATTATATCTGACTGTATAGATTCATTAGAAATATTGTTATTAAAATACTTATAGTTCGATGATAATAATGAAGAGGAAGAATTGGAATAAAAATGAAATGGTAATGAATTGGTTAAGATTTGCTTTGTTATCTCTTCACTAACTGGTTCATCACGATTCACGTAGTTTACTCCACTATTAAAAAAATATGTTGAACTTAAAGTATAGTTGTTATCTTCAAGAAATAACAATGAACTAAATTGTAAAACATAGAAAATACAAATACTTACAATTAAATGTAACTAAATGACTATTTTCATTGAATGCTAATGTTACATAATATTGCAATATTTATATTCTGGAACAGATTATATAATACAAACGGGTGTAACTAATTATGGAAGAGTAGACTCAAACTAAATTTTATCTTTTTCTTCAAACTACTTAATAAACTATCTTTTACATCTAGTCAAGTGATTCAATATGCAGAAACTTCTCATTATGACATCCGTAACTCCTTGTCACTAGTGAAATAAACTTATTCTGAATTATCTCTTTATATAGATTAATTTATGTGTAAATTTTCTAGACTCTGGAATAATCTACCACAATCTATCCGTACGATAAAATCACTCCCATTATTTGTTCGCTGCAGTGATGCATACTGTTCCTCTGAAAATGCATGGAATGTTCTAACATCTGTAGGTGTATCTTATTCCATAAGTAATATTAGAGAAACATCAAATGTTTAGACATTATTATTAGTGAATTCCCTAAATAAAACCACTTACCTACTGTCACTTTACGTTAACACTGTTCTTAGCAAACTAAGCTCAGTTGAATAATATCTATATCACTGTGTCACATGACACATGCATTTTGGTAGGCCTGATTGACATATTTTGGTAATTATTGCATTGTTGATCCGTGCTGTCTGTTTTCATTTTATTTTCTCTATTTGTGGATAATTATCATTATTTTGATCTAGCATACGAAATGACTTTAAATACACCGTTCATAAATCAAAAGGCTGTCCACTGAAGAAAAATTAAAAGTTCCCGGCTGATGCATTTCGTCGCTACAATACATGTAATACCTAAACAACTACTGAACTAGTATACTTAAAACTACCTTATATCATCTGTTTGTTCTGTACATCTTATGTTACTATTTATATCAGATTGGTCATGGCTGTAAACTGGCGTGAATTCTGTAATCATCATTTTCAGAATATATATATATTAATCAAAGTATAAAATTCTGACATTGAAGTAAATATAAATCTGGAATAGCGTGCATGTTTATTGTAAATAAAGTTTCTACATTGATAATTGACGATTGTTATTTTCAAAACAATTTTCTGATTTAATATAAAATATCATACAAACTTACGGATCAATAGGTTAAGCATTTGCTCGCAAGACTTAAGGTCCTGGGTTTGAATCTCGCTCGTAGGATGGTGGATGCGCACTGCCGAGGAGTCTCATACTAAGACGAAATGGCAGTTAAGTGCTTCCAGACTTTCAGTAGGAATCCAACATTGGTCGATTCATGATTTCAGTGAAAATCACTTATGCAATACTTATAAGACAAATACAAGCATTTTAAAATAAAACTTATATATGTTTCATTAACTAGTTGTTATCTGGACATAATACCTCAGTGAACAATTCATTGGAGCTTGAAGCAAAAGATCAATGAAAGGACTTCATAACCGGAATGAAGGTACATCGGAATGATGAGCCCCAATTAAGAAGTAATGTGGTTCCTGAATCCAACTGTTAGCCGATATCACGCTTTACATATAATATGCACGTTTAAATGGTAACTAAATTCAAATGCACTAGGTCACAAATAATTTTATTTTTAAGCATTTTGAGGACGAATTATCGAGTACATCTAGTTACTGGAACACAAAACATTAAACGGTTCATTTAGTATCGTATTTCTATTTTCAATAAACAGTTTTCAAGTAAAAGTGGGTTAAGTCAATCGGAATCAAGAGAGCGGCTTTTAGAAATAGTTCAAATTTACTGAAGAAAGACAACAATTTAAATCATAAAAATTTTTAGGAATATCAAATTCATAGTCTACAATTACAATCAAATTTCTATAAACCTCCTTAAAGAGCAATTTTAATCAGCTTTTGTCTAGCTGATTCATTTTCCATAAACAGTTGAATTTGTTTTGTCGAAATTCGCTATCCAAAACCTGTTTTGTAAATTTCTAATTACATATAATATGAAGTTATTCCTGTATTTAATAGTGCCTTTATATGTATTATATATGGCTGTATTATACAAATCAGTGTTACCTTTGAAATCTACTGATGAACTTCAGAGAGTGATCTGATGTGCTGACTAGACAAAATTACACATTTAACTCATCTGGATTTCTCGATCAAACATTACGTCCGTTTTTAATTCAATATGATAATTATTCGGTGTAATGTGTTTTTATTGAGATCATGAACTGATTGTTGTTAGATCACCATTGGAAACCTGGAAGCACTTGATGGCCGTTTCTTTCAATTGTGGGACTCCTCAGCAGTATACCATTTTTCTCGGTATAACAATAGTTAATTTCGGTTCGATGTTTATTGAATATTTAATACACGTTATATTAAATTACTTTGAACTATACACAGCATGATATGTGGCTTGCAATTTTGTTATGTTTTCATACAAGTGACCATATTTCATTATTTGTGCAAATCAATATATAAGTGAATGTATTTTCGACTAGGGTTGTCGTCGTGTTTCTATGTTAATAAATCTTCACTTGTACTGGTCTTCTATGTTCTTACTTTACGTCATGTACAGTGATGTCGGTGTCAGTTACTTGATATTGTAGTGAACGAGAACACCAGTTTGGACAACTAAGCGCATTCAGATATAACATTACAGAATATCTTGGTAGAATCTGAGAACCATTCAGTAAATACTTCATTTGCAAAATGTTGATCAATTTTCACAGACTTTACAGTTTTTTATTCCCATTCCAATCACACTCTGTTCTCGTTAGCTTCTCTCTGATGTTCTCCACCTTCTGTCACTAGGCATTCCATTTTCGATTGGTGACACATACTACTTATATATGTCGATATCAATAGTACACGCTACAGTATAACTTGTCTTTTAAGACTAACTCTTTAAATGAATTCAAAATTCATTACTAAGAAAATATATGTATTTAAATGTAAACTCACTCTTTATAGTATTCAGATTTGAGTAATTTCGGTTGAAATTTTGGTGTATGCTTCACATTCCAAATCGTGTCACATGTATATACATTACGTAGGATAAACCGGCAGCTATATCATGCAATAGTAATCCATTATAGTAAACACCTTAAAAATTAATAGAAATTAGTCATTCCTAGTAAAACATATATCGTTTCTCATGATAATAAAAAGAAGTGTTTACTGAGAAATATTCAATCAAAAAATGTGTTTCTTGACAAAGTAATGGTAAACAACACCTAATTGATTATTTACACTTAATTGATGTTTAAATGAAATATTCATCCATCAAAAGAATATCGGAAAGCATGAATAATAAATATATTTTTGAATGAAATGAATTAATTGCATTACACTTACGAAAACCTTTCTTTGTTTACATATTTTATCACTGTTATATAAGTTGTTCCTACCTAGAATTCTTGACCATTATTATTATTATTATTGTTACTGTCTCATATTCTGTATGTCAATGTTTTATTAGCGAGACTATAACTTGTGGACGAACTAATCAGATTTATGATAACAGGTCTTGGATTTCGGCGCGAAATTCTTTATCCATTTGGGTAAATAGCGTTTTGGTATTTTAGCTGATGTTAGTTCGTGATGAAAACTACAAATCTAATCCCTATACTTAATCATCAACTCTAAATCACAATCCTTATCTTTCACAAAGGTTTAAAACCCTCATTTAGCCCTAGTCAGTAGGTGGACCTACTCAAGGCCACTTTATCGTCGCTTAAAGGCCGTTTTAATTAATAAAATCCACATATTCTTTGTTTACCCAGAATGAATTGATTTGAGCTTATTTAAATTAATCTGACAAATTGTGTCATACATATATTTACTATAATAACTAACTTTATACCGTGTTAATTAGTTCACTGATTACAATATATAGGAAATTATTTGAATGGCTGGTATTTATAAGCTATTCTACCTTTGAAATTCAATGAAAGCATAGTTAATGAACATTAAAATATGTAAGAGAATAAAGATAGTTTATTGTATTAAATTTAAAAAAAGAAGTAACACTTGAATAATTACACATTGCCTAGTTACTTTTAATTTTCATCTATAAATAACCCGTTCAAATTCCCGGCTTATCTCTTCTCTAAAACATGTATTTATTATCATAAATTTTCCAGGTTTAAATCTGTTTCCATGAACAGATTATATCTGATAGACGAGTATAATTATACAATTTCATAGAATGTTTACAATCTAATTAATCAGATACCTTAAATGGAATACTAGGATTGTCGGTAAATTTTCTCTCTCACCTTAGTTTTGTGGAAACGGGAGGCGGTTACAATTGGAATGAATACACCAAATGTATTATGTGAAAATAGACGTCATAAGAATAAAACTGGTATTAAATATTTGTGAATGAGTATGAATAGCAAATAATTTTTATTTAAAACGTCTTATGTGTAGATTTTGGATACTTAGAAGTTGAATTCCAATAAAATGGGAGTTTCGTTCTGTTGTGTGCCAAAAATCCTCTAATCAAGCATATATTACTGAACAAATAGAACGTTGTTATTTAGTCGTCAGTGTAGAATTGTGAACATTGTTGAAACTTATTGAGATCATGAACTGATCTAATTTAGATAACCATTGAAAAGCTGGAAACACTGTATTGCCACGTTTTTCTAATATGATACAATTGAAGATGATTGCGTAATATTGATTGAAATTAGACTTGTACACAATTGTGTCCCAACGCATTGGTTTACAGATCAGAAGTTTAAGCGTGAGATTGAAGATATTAGAATCAGTCCCTATGGTTGGGTCATGAATGCACACTTCTCGGTAGTCATATACTATGACGCAACGGCCATGCAGTTTTCTAACTTTTGTTTGTGTTATTAATAAAGTTGTACATAATCAAATACAGGGTTTTAAGGTCAATCTTAGGTTGATCTGTAGTGCGAACCTTTTTAACTTCTACGTTCTGCAGTTTTATGAATATGTCTGAAACCTTAAACGTAAATGTAATGGTTCGTGACGGTACTATTACAGCTCTTATCCAAAACTTATTAAAAAACGTTTGTGCAAACTGTTAATATTAAAAGTTGGATAGAATTTATGTAAAGAAGTAACTGACATAAAATTTCGACACCCAATGTCGTAAACAACAAAATAACGTTTATTTTATTAAATGTAATGTTTTTTTAAACTAAATATTGAAGTATAACCATGTATACTCAAGACATAAAATGTTCCATGTCAATTCAAATATTGTACAACTGAGAAATTTTAACGTAATAACATCCTATGCAATTTTATGGTGTAAATAACTGTACTGAAAACAGTCTGATAAATGTAACTGTGGAAAAACGGATATCGGGTTCATAGCTTCTGGAAACTCTTAGTTTTTACTTGAAGGTGTCATAATCATTGTTTGTGATGACCATTCAAGTCCCTAGATATATATTAATACATTGAATTGATTTTCTCTGGTTTGGGTTTTTGCAGAAATGTTTTTGTTTGCGACATGGGTTTGAAATCTCTATGTCCAGCTCACTTCTTTTTACTAAGGCTTCCATCTGGTAACAACTGTAGAGGGACTTCAGATTCAATATGATCCTAAAGAGATAATTGTATATTTATAGTTTTACACATACCGATACCGATATTTCATTGAAAATGAAAGAAATACCATTACCCCTTCTAATATACATGGATATTATAGTTTTAGAATAATGCTGACAATGAGAAAAAAATAGTCATTTTTAATATGTTTGTAAATGTAAACATAGTGACCTAAAAACTTAAATAAATTTTTTTCTCAGAAGGCGTTTGTGGAGATTTTAGAAATTTCACAGACTGAAATCATGATTCAGTTGAATCTAGACCACCATGGAAAACCTGGAAGCACTGGACGGTCGTTTCGTCCTAGTACGAGACTCCTCAGCGGTGAGCAACTACGATCCCGCACCCCGCGGGATTCTGACCCAAGAGCTACTGGTTTCGCACGCGAACACTTAACCACTAGACCACTGAGCCGGCATCCAACGTTGTTAATGTTTATAAAAAAACATCTAAATGTTACTTTTGTAAATATATTATAATCCATAAGTGATTAATCAATTATATTCCTTATTTCTATGGTGTATAATCAAAAAAAATATGATAATATAACTTACCAGTCATGTAACCATGAAAAAAGTCTGTCTTATTTAATCGTGGTGCATGTCCAAGCCAAATAACTTTTTGATTATTGAACTGTTTCCCATATATACCTATGTTTATATAAAATTTATTATTGAAACAAACAAACAAAAGAATTCGTCTATTTACTAGTCAAATATATCCGGATAATGATAGGTTAATATCTATTGAATTTTATTGTAACTATGATAAGTAAAAAAAAAACACAGTGGAAAGTTTTAATTAATTAGTCGGCAAAGAAGAAAAAACAAATAAGAAGTAAAATTAATGGATAAAATGAAAATTCATTTCCTTTCTATATTGTTCCTTATATTTATTATTGAAGAAATCTATAAACTAATGTAATCATGTCTATATGTAATATGTAATAGAAGGTCTAAAGATTTTATTTCCGATAAAATATTCTTACCTGGAAGAAAAAAAGTGTAATAACTAATGAATAAGTTTGAATTAGAACACTTTAAAGTACGTTTACATTGAAAATACAGATGAACTCTAGTATTATGTTCATGAATTGATTAACGTAGAATATAATATACAACTAATGACAATGAATGTATATAATCTTCATAATGGCAAATCAGAAGATAAAAGAAACAGGAGAAGTGATTATTCGGTAAGAATTGAAAAAAATGTATAGAAAAGCATAGATATTTATAGATATTAGAGTTAGCTATAACATTAGGCTACCATCCAATCGTAGCATGACAAGTTTTTATTCTAGGACACTCTATCTGATTCTGATTATATGGAAACTCTTTGACTCCTTTAGGACTCTAAAGGTTCCATCGTACTTCTCGGATGCCATCTTAACACCTAGTTACTGAATCGTCGTTTAAACATAATTTTTTATTAGAGCTATATGGATTTTTCAAAAAATTTGTATGAAATTATGGAGTATTACATTCATTGAATCTTTATTAAATTATTTCAAATATGTCGTTAATAAAAACTTGACAGTGTTTAAGATGTATCTGAGTATTTGATTAAGATCATTGTTGCGTGTGTATTATGTCACCATCTAATCTACTGTTTTTAAAATATATTATCATATTATTTCTGTTGATGTAAAAGAATACAGAATGAAGGGATGGGAACTTTCGGAATTATTTGATCAACTTTTATTATACATCTTTGTATTATCTCATAACTAAATTATTGAACTGTTATATTTTTATATTTCATATGTTGTAAGCTACCGTTTGATTCATTAACTAATACTATACAGCTTATTATTTCTAATTTAGAATTAGTCAAGTGATTTACCGTTTATTAGATTCATTGTCATATTGGTCTGTTTGTAGTGGCTGTGCTTCGTTAACCAATCAACCTTATAACCGTTTTCAAATAATCCTCAACGGTGTTTGAAATTAGAAGGGAAAGAAAAGCAGCGACTAAAGTTTATTAGCAGATAACTCAGACCACAAATCAAAGAGGTAAATGAGTGAGTCAGCAAACCCAGAGTGTAGAGTGTTGAATGTACATGTATATATATAGGGAAATGAATGGATAATCGAATCGATTAAGCAGCTGATAATAAAGCTAGCAGAATGAATATATGTGTAGGCGGTAAGCAATGTTCAGAACACATATTTCATACAAGCACAACAATAATCAATTATGGATGACTTTATCCGTTAAATAAGTTAACAAAATTGCTTAACCGAATTAAATGTGAACACACTCAGTTGCAGGTAAGCTACTATGTGTTTGTATACAATATTGTTTTTTCACTGATATTGTGATCCAGTACGTTGTGTTTGTATATAAGCCTACACTGTTTAGAAGAATAATGATGAATTCTTGGTTGTTATCATCATATATTCGAACTGAAGTCTTGAAAGGAACGGAACGATAAACGTTTTGTAATTTCGATTCGAAACTAATCATGTTATTGACTAAGACTTAGGACACTAAACTATGGAAGGAAAAGTTGTTAGGATGTTCTGTTATCTAATATATCACATTGATAAAATAAGTAGGATTTGATTAGGGGCTTATCATGTAGATCATCTCACCGTATTTTTTTACGCTGTTGATAATGATGTTAATTAACGTGAAACTGTAATGAATTCCTGAATGAATCCAATTTAATTAGAAATGCTTGGTTAGTGAATTTATATGCAATGATACTATATATATATTCTTTAATATAGATACTGCATAGTGCTAACACCTTTCAATATCTACTTATTCAAAAGTCAGAATGTACATAATGGAAATCGTGTAGTCAAATTTTGAAAAATTAAAAGCATAGTCATGTTTTTGAATGTTGATAAATCAACTTACTGTTTAGTTCATATGTATGTCTTGAGTCATCTACTTCAAGAATTATCTGACGATCGACACGATAGCCTCGTATTCGATGATAAAATCCATCATTGATTGGGAAATTAGGTCCACTGATATGAACCACACCTCCACCCATGTTATAATTAAGCCGCACTACACCTGATTCCTAAATAGGAATTTTCAAAAAAGTTGGAAAAAAATGAAAATACATTTTCACTGTTTTATTAATTGCTAGTGACAAATGTAATATTTGGCTAATCCTTAGGGTAGATCTAATTCTCTAGATCAAGTTTCGATAAGGCCACTAGTCTAAATATTCCGACATCGCATGTGCTAGGTGTCGTTGTCGGGCTTTTATATGTAGTTGGTAGACAACCTCTAGATTATGTTTTCTGATATCATTGTTACTTCTTGTTACTCAAATACCTCAGTGATGAAGTCTCAAACTACAGCATTGAATAAGGCGTGTTTGAACCCCATAGAGAATATCTGTTAGCTTAACAGTTCAGGTATGCCTTGTTGGCTATTCTCAAATAACATGAAACTAATGACCAATGTTTCCTGCAAATGACCTTTGAGTACCCAGGATAAAAACATAATAAAACTATATAGATGGATTCTTTGTAAAATTGTCTTTGATGGTCAGACGTATAGAGGTTAGATGAATTATCGACCTGTTATCTCGAGGCATTTAAAACTTAGAAATCAGATCCATAACGACTGTTAACGTTGTTTTATCTGTGTCACATGACAGTTAAGATTTTGAATTCTAATTGACTCATTCTAGCTAGTAGTACTTTTAACATAAATTTATCTTCCCTTTTCATAAGTTAGCTAGACGACTATCATTCATTATTAAAGTGATTTTTCTGATTTTTAAGATTGTTTTATGAAGAATGTTATCTCATTATTAAGTGTACTAGTATTTTATCACTTCAATGAAATATATCTGTAGCAGCTTCTATCGATCTAATTAATTTAACTCTTATGAGATGTGAAACCCAAGTTCATCTGATTTAAGTTTTAAATCTAGAATTTATTCTGTCTGATTTTGTCTTATCGGCACTTAGTTATCTATCTCACTGATATATGTACATGCAAACTAAATCTAATCTGTACAAATGGATATCATCTTTAAACTTTTGATAATGTAATGATATGTGTGTAGCATTTACTGTGAGCATCAAACCTTACATAAAGCTATATGTTCTTACAAACATAGAAAGTAATAAGAATTGACTCAAAAGAGTCTGGTCTGTCCAACAAAAAGATGTACAATTAGCCGCTTGACTTTATTATGATTCAAAATTTTATTCCTTTTCATCTCTCCATGAAACATCCCCTATTCAATTGATATTATTAATAATAAGGATATCATAAGATTATTCAAATTTTGTAAAGAATATAAAACGTTTGCTAGAAATAATAAGTACCTATTTTAATTTCAGTTCCCAATATGATCCCTGCCTATATCGACTGGTTGCGATTGCGCTTGGTTCGCTAAGTTTCTGAGTTTTCAAGGTTATGTTTTCGATGCTATAAATATATTAACTTTGTGATACTTGTTCTATTTTAAATATCATGTTTTCGTACAATTTTTGTTTTCCATGATTTAGCGGCCAAATGTTGAAGTATTGTATGCTAGCTGTCGTTATCCATTTGCCAAGTAAATCCAATCCTAATTCCTCAAGTACAATGGGCTTATACGGAACCCTCCAATATCAAGAGTTAACGCTAATTAGGTTAATCACATCTACATAATGTTTTTTTTGTTTCCTTTACCGTTGAACTGTTTTATTTATCCAGTGAATCACGAAGTCACAGTTATCAGTCACACATGAAAACTTATTATTATACGCTGATCTTTCTGATCTCTTCAGTTTACTAATTACTGAATCAATTAAATTACAGAAAGCAAGAACGAGGATTGGAGCAGAATAATGTGAATTTAATTTTATTCCGTTTGTTTCTCATCAGCTGCTTACAAACTGCAATATTTTAAAATTAACTTTATTACAGATATTGGCATACTTATACACATGAGTTTGACTAAACATGAATATATGTATTATGATGTATTATTTGAGATATTTTGGTGATACCCTCTACGTATGTAATAATCAACAACATGCAATAAACCTTCTAAAACTTTTCAATGAAGCCCATCCAAATATCCAATTTACTATGGGACATGAAAATGAAAACACGTTCCGAATCGATAGCAACCGAACGTCTAAAACCAAATTTATGTTTACAAATAGAGACAGTAATAAATCTTTCTTTGCCCTAGTAACATTAAACTCCTCTTTTATTTAATACGTCATGTATTATCTCAACTCTTTCTAAAGTCTAAATTACACCATTGTCATTTTTCTTCACTTCATAGCTGACTGATCTCAATTCAGATCTCTCTTCATCACCAATAATCTATTTTCAGTTGCTTTATTACATAATTATTTAATCAAAAATGGATACGGGTTAGCGGTGGAATCCAGGACGCACGTTTTGTCCTATTTGGATGTACCAGCATCCGAGAGTTGATGTTCACCCCGGGACACAAATCCAGTACCATTCGCCCCAAACACCATCGCGTTATCCACTTAGCTACTGAGTCCTGATAACCACCTGCTTGTGCAGTGGGGTAACGTTTAAAATCACTTGGTGTTGTTGTTGCTACTGGGTTCGAGTCCCGGAGTGAACATCAATTCTGGGATGCAGGTACATCCATCTAACGAGTCCCGAAGGGGACGGAACACGCATCCTGGATTCCACTGCTAGCCAATATCCATCTATGCTCATAAAGCTTGTGGCTTAGTGCTATATCGAGATAATCCACGCAGGATGCACATATGTCAACAAGAGACTGATCAAGTGCAGTCCTAAATAACAAGTACAACAATACCAAGTGAATATAATCATTTAATGTTTGTTAACTTGATTAGTTCTAATCACTATTTCAATGTTCTGGAACTTCCACTCCCAAACCCTTTTTATCCGAAACAAACAACTTTTATGATTTTATTAAACTCTATTGAAATCTTCGCTATATTATAATACACATATACTCATTTTTAATCACCCTTGTATGTAATAAGTATGTTAATATCTATAATAACGTTGATTTTCAAATTTTCTAGGTTGTAAGTAGGTGATGAGAATCTAACGAAATACGATAAAACTCGTATTATTCTGCACCAATCTTCGTTCAAGTTCTCTTTAGGATAATAAAGGTAACTATGTGTATAAAATTAAATTATATTCACCTTATCATTATAGGGTTGTGTAGATTATTTAGTTTTTAGTTGAGATGATGAACAAATTGATATTAGACCATCAGTGCAAAACTCGAAGTAGTGGATGGTCATTTCCTCCTTTTGTGAGACTCTCCAGCAGTGTACATCCACGTTCACGCCCCGGTCTCACGCGTGAATCAGTTCAATCAATTCATGATCTCAATCAAAAACCCAATAATCTCCACAACCCTATACTAATAATAACCATGTGCTCACTAGTGACTAGCTTCTTGAGGGAATTCACGGATTTCTAGTGAGAAGCCGTGACCATTGAGGCAAATCCGTGTCAAGTAGAGACAGGTATTTACCTCAGTACAATGGAAGATGGTCACACAATTTCGTGTATTGGTTGAAGTTAGACATGAACACCGTTGAATCCCAGGTCTGTTGTCTAGAGGTTAAGTGTTCACGCGCGAGACCAAAGGCCCCGTTTTCGAATACCGTCCGTGGGATTGCGGATGTGCACTGCTGAGTAGTCCCACAATAGAAAGAAACGGCCATCAAGTGCTTCCAGGTTTCCAATGTTGATCTAACATCAATCAGTTCATGATCTCAATAAAAACACATTACACCGAATAATTATCATATTGAATTAAAAACGGACGTAATGTTTGATCGAAAAATCCAGATGAGTGAAATGTGTAATTTTGTCTAGTCAGCACATCAGATCACTCTCTGAAGTTCATCAGTAGATTTCAAAGGTAACACTGATTTGTATAATACAGCCATATATAATACATATAAAGGCACTATTAAATACAGGAATAACTTCATATTATATGTAATTAGAAATTTACAAAACAGGTTTTGGATAGCGAATTTCGACAAAACAAATTCAACTGTTTATGGAAAATGAATCAGCTAGACAAAAGCTGATTAAAATTGCTCTTTAAGGTGGTTTGTCGAAATTTCATAGGTTGATTGAGGTTAGACATGAGCAGCAATGGATACCGATTCAGTGATCTGAACATTAGGTGTTCGCGCGTGAGACTGAAAGCTCTGGGTTCGAATCCCATCCATGGGATCTTGGATAAGTATTGTTGAGAATTACCATAATAGGACGTAACGCTGTTCCATTGCTTCCAGGTTTTCAATGATGATCTAACATCAATCAATTCATGATCTTAATCATATATTCACCTTTATTTAACATGAAATTATTCATCATCATTACTGTTAAATAAATAAATAATGATAATACAAAAACTACATTGTATCTATGTATAAACTTACTAAAAATAAATGTATAAAATCACCAATTTGTGTTAAACTAGTAACAAATAATAAAGTGGTTATATAATTATGAGAAATTTGTTCATTATTTTTGTGTTGGTTTTTATTATAAGTTAAATTTGTTAAAATTGTTTGAATACCAAGTACAAATTCATCTTGTCTTGTATTTCTTACACGATCTGTATAAATTAAACGTAAATAACCAATATGATCATTATCACTATCAATTGTTTGATTGATATTATTTGATATATTATAACTTATAGTTGTATCATACTTAACACCATATGCAAATGTTGTTCCAGCTAGAAAAGATGTTTTCGAAACGAAAAAACAAACAAACAAATATTATCTGAATATTGAAACAGATTTGATTTCTTTTTAAAAAGTACAATTTATAAAACAAAACAAACAAGCTTTCCTGGTTTAATTGATGAAGTAAGAATTTGATTCGATATAACTTTTTAAAGCCCTCAAATACCCTGGTCAAGCCGAGGTTTGGGAGAGTTAGTTCTCCCTATCGAAATACTCTTACATGATCATGTTCATACAACCATTGCCAAGGAAGTCCTATTCACTAATTTCTTGTCACAGAGGTGTTATCTACGAAATTGAGAGGACGAAAAGCAAATATCCAGTGCTTTAAACGGGTTGGTGGATACGGAGGATCCATCTAGGGGAGTTAGAAAACCCTGGTTCCAAACTAATGGTGCAAATGAGCTTCAGGATCCTAAGAAAACAAATGGCGTATAAAACAATTGTTGGTCACTGGCTAACATGGGACTGAATCTGCTTACGTTGCTCTAATGCGTTATGGATCAGACCTTTAGGTCAAAGGCTCGGGGTGTATACCCTAAGAAAACCACCAGCTTGGGCACCCGGGCAGTATTTCAGCCTCATGCGAATTGAATGATTTATTTGGCACGTATATATTTGGTGCCTCCTTGTGCGAATGTTTATGTGTTTAAATGAATAAATAAATAATAATGAACTATGTTCTACTTCCCATCATAAAATAATTCAGGTTTTTAATCATAGTCTAATTAACATCAGTTAGTTATATAAAGTCTGTGATAATTTAATCATATTCACAAAACCTTATATTGAATAGTGTATGACATTGTCTGTTACAGAGATCAAAACGATACATAGTTTAATAAGTGAATTAGACACTGTTTCATGTAGAAATAGCAAAATTTTACATAGATCATTGTTTAAATGATTCCGAAATGTATCAATTATAAACTTGAAAGGCCATTTGAAAAAAAGTTAGGAAAATTCTATAGAAGTTTTTAATTTAGGATTACAAATTGATTCCAGTTGGACAATCATTTAAAATTAGTGCTCCTCCCCACGACTTCATCACAGATGATTAAATTCATGATATCTGGTCTCGTGCATAAATTATTTACCTGTAGACTACTGAGCCACGACCTAATGATGTCTTAGTATAATCCCCGATATCGTGCAACTCCCTTCATTGACTTCGTGGTTTAATTTTCTCACGCATAGCATCCTTGAAACCCACTAGTCATGGTGTCTGACAGACTTCTTACAACCTTTCAAGTTATATTTAACATAATAAAATAAACCATGTGTGTAAGGTGTATAATGTAGGAATTGCTATGTCTGTTTAATTGAGATTATTATTTAATGAATAAATTGACATAACTGAAATTAAGCTATTACCTTTATTCATGAGAATTAATGTTACACAACATGATAAAAGTCGTCAAGTCGATAACAATTTAAGATTGAGAAATAAACGGAATTTCATCCACGACTGAGATACAATTCAAATCATTTAAGATTATTCATCGAAGAAACTTTCTCTTTGAATATATCATTTAATATAGCTGTACAATTGTATGCATGGTGATTTAACAAGTATATTTTTAGTTAACCTTGATATATGCTGCTTATTAAATCTGTAAACTTTGCATACTTTGAAGCATCCAATTTAATATTACTTGGAAAATATACATTTTAAACTCATCGATGTTTCAAAATAAAGTAATAGCTACTCTCTAGTCTAACTGTTACCCAGGTAACGGTAAGTAATCTGTAGGGATAATACGTAGTAACTTAACGTTTATCACATACGCCTAGTTATAGGTATCATACTCATATGTGTCACTTCTAATTAATATCAACCAAGACTTGTACAAGGTCTGATGAATTGTAAAACTTGATGATCAGACAAAAAATGAAGCATGTGGAGTGTCAATGGAAATATATTGACCTTTGTCTGACCCACTTCCATTTGTCCCAGGAAAGATAAGTCGCTTAAAGAACCTGCTACACAAACAGCTAGCCCTTAAATTCACAATGAAATTTGAACATAAATACAAAATAATTAATTTTTTACTGACCTTTTATACATCGATGCCCATCAAATGTAGTCAATTCACAGGCACACTTAACACCTAACCATGTATGTAAACAAATTCCATCATTTAAGCAATATGGTTGAAATAGTTTATTATTATCATTGTTTCCATCAATATTTTTATTTGTTCTTGTTATAGTTGAATGATTTTGAATACGTTGAATTTGATTACAGTTCAATACTCCTTTCGGTCGATAATGACAATTGTCCACAATTTGATCTCGGCAGACAGGTAATGTCCAATTTTTCGCATATTTTAACTTAGCCATATTTAATAAATCAAATGGAGGTAGTCCATTTATAGAGAAATTGCCTAGACAACCCTTATCAAAAATTAAATAAATAAATAAATAGAAATGAACATGTAAACCAATAAGTTTAAAATGTTGTTGAATTCTCCCACTTAAGTGGATTAATAGTGGACCTTTCAATTTCATTTCGGACATTATCATCACTAAATCAAGTTAACGATAATGATGTTATCTACAATTACAATAAAATTTTCGTTATTAAACTATCAAGTTCAGAGGATTCAGGAACACTAAATCCATCCACATCTCCAAAATGCAACTAAGTAATTGGTACAGTTCGTTTTGCTTAAACTGAAACTATAGAATATAAATGACATGGTAGAATTTATCAAGTCTGATTTCAGGGCTGTCTGATGAAGCAGGCATTTGATTCGATTAAGCTCATTGAGACATAACATTCAACTTCCCATCATATAATATATTTTAGCCATGATCCGGTGTCTTGCACTACATTCATAAGTATATTTTTATTCGGTTATTTTGGGCTTTTGGAAAGTAACCAACCTCATCTACTGAACAAATCGTTTTTCAGATGAAATAAATTATCGAATTACTACATAAATCACTCAAATACGTTTGGATGTGGATGTTTCTTTTATCTGAAACTGACATTGATTAAATATTTAATAATAACTAGGAATTTCTAGTCAGCCGATTTGTTCTAGAATATTAAAATGTTTGCTCATTGATGACTTCATTTCAGATCTAGTTCCCTGAAGTTCTGGTAAGAGGAAACGACTTCAATTATAAACAATTTTTACAAATAATAATTTTTTTTTAAAAAAAAACTGGTTTTAATGTCATACTTGATATACGATATTGGAAATATCCTTCTGTTTTCCTGTATTGGGTTCGACAATCTAGCATGAAATATATGTGAAATTAAACCGAAGATCTGAGTCGATTTGTTGATATTGTCAAGTGCACTTAATGATTGCATGTCTAAATTTGTCTACAATAGATCAACTTAACCTCATCATAACTAATTTAGATAGAGAAATGCATTAACACTAAAATGTAGTAAATCACAATCGGATCAGTTCAATTAAAATTTGTTATAAAAATAACGAATATCATTAAATGAATACATATTTTGTTTGTCGTATTAACCACAGCGGTAAATTTATAATTTATGGAAGACCATTGAGCGACGTTAAGGTGATCTTGAGAATGTTCAACTAATAACTAGAACCAAATAAAGGTTCTAAACCAGTGTGAGGAATTAGAATTTTGATTCACAGATGATAGTTAGGGTTAGGAACTAGATTTAGAGTTTTATCATAAAATGATATCGATTAAAACGCAAAAACGCTATGTAACCAAATGAATAAATGAGTTTTTTGTCAAAGTCCAAAACATGTTAGGAATCAATCAGATTTACGATAACAGTTCTTAAATTTTGGCTCGAAACTCATTTATCCATATGGTTAAATAACGTTTTAGCATTTCAGCTAATGTCAGTTCGTGATTAAAAACCTTAAATCTAGTGCCTAACTCTAGTCTCATCAACTGTAAATCATAATTCTAATTCATCACACAGGTTTACAATCTTCATTTGATCTTATTTATTAAGTGAACACTATCAAGGTCATTTTAGCATCGCTCAGAGGTCATCCATAAATCATAGTCTCATCACTTATTATTTTATATATGATTGGTTCATTCATAAATTATGATAGTCTTGCCACCATTACATAATAAGGTTTCTAAAAGTGATTTTATTCAGGAAACAAAACGATATGATTAATATAATAGTTTGAAATTTGGTATAAGATTTCAAACACCAACATTTAACACATTTACAAAATATTCCTTATTATTTATTTGAACACATAAATACTGGCACAAAGAGGGCACCAGTTACATATGCGTCACATAAATCTCATTTGATATGTGTGAAGGCTGTGATACTGCCCGGGTGCCTAAACCGAAGCAGGTACAAAATATTCCAGTCATTCCACAATAATCAAAAATACATAACTCAATATTTTATACTTTCAATTCATTAGTATATAATACCCTATTAAAGTTTGAATTTTTAATAGTATAATATTACGAAAACATAAAAAGTTTTCGTCTTCTTTTTTCTTCTTATCACAGAAACTTAATCTAGTCTGGTTTGTTCATTTTGAATATTTTTCATATATGTCAACTAGAGATTACACAAATCACGTACATTCACCAATAAACAAACAAACAAACCAGTTCAAAGTGTTTTATATTATGTAATAGTTACTAAGTGAATTATTTCTAATGAATTTTAATATAAATTAAATATTGTCTAATTGGTCTCTCCCCCCCTCCCTGCTTCTCTATATATGAATGGATGAATATCAAAATTAATTGTTTTCTGATAGAGACTAATAATTTTTTTTGGTGTTTTGTTTTTGGTTTTAGTTATGGAATAAACTTATTGTTAGGTCATGTGGATAACATTAGGCGACATAAATATAAATGTATGTTTTTAATGAAATCATTAGAAAAATAGATATGAAGTATTTTGAATAGAATTTTAATGGTTAAATTTCAATAGAAATCATGAAATTTGATAATTCATTTGATATTGTTTGTTTGTCTCTTCTCATTATTATATAAGATTGCAATAGATCAATCCGTTATTGGCATATATGCCTATTGTGTATATTGCTTCGATATTGCTTTAAGTCACTTTAAGTCAATAATAAGGTGAACAGATGGCAGTCGGAAAGCCAAACATAACACACATTATTTTCATTAGATAGGTAGCTGACTGTCATTCTGACCATTGTTTCTGTCTTGACTACCTTCACTAAAACCTACGATATAATTGAAAAGAGCTCTTTTCTACAGTGTGAAATATTGACGAACATTCCTGAAAACTTCGTAAATTTTCTCGAGAGCTTTTCTGAAGATCCACATTGAGTTACAGTCACTCACTTAGTACAATTATTCAATTGTTCAACTTGGAAGTTCTAAGTCAAGAAATTATCTTTAATGTATGACTTAAATACCCATGTTATATCGTTTGCTCATATTTAACATTAAATATACTTGAATTCACTTTGTATTGTTTGTTTGAACCTTCCCATTGATGTTTAGAAATGCAATTGATCAGTCTCTTATTGTCATATATGAATATTGCGCGTATTTCCTCGATATTGCCTTAAGTTACAAGCATTGAAAGCAGAGATGGATGGTGGAATGCAGTAAGCGCGTTTGGTCTTATTTATAAATATACTGCTAGAAAATCTTCCTACTTCAAGTTGATACCATAAACATTTCCTATATACTTATTTACAAGTCGGGTGTATCTCACATTGTATTGATATATGGTTTGAAGTTGATACATGGGAACGAATATCTTTGAAGGTATTTTTTCTATCAAATTACCTGAAATCCATGGTATGAACTAAGTTTCTCTCTCCATTTCAAGAATACAAGTTGGGATATACCACCGATATATAGTGGATCATTTAAATTGAAATTTCTTGCAATGTCACCATTGAAAACGGGTATTTTCAAAGATTGTTCAATACTTTGATTCCGATCAATATATAATTGGAGTATATTATTTTCAAGATCTTTTCTGAAAGAATATGGACAGATAAGAGAATAAATAATAAGGTGAACAGTCATTAGATGTCGTGTGGAGTTGTTTGAATATAATATATAATAATATATAATATATAAGACGTAATCATCATTTAAGCCTATCTAAATGTAAATAAACAGACGCCGTATTGTGTAAATTATCTTCACAGATTATACGTGTTCCTGAAGTGATGAAAGCAGTGGAATAACGTAATTGACTTGGAGATTATAATAAACCACATTTATTCATTGTGGTTTGAATGACAATAAAATTACATAGATATTTCGTTCAACATAAATCACAGCCGCTTGATGACGGTTGTTCACAAGTTTTGGTGAGTATGAATTGATTTTATAACCGGTACTTTACGGATAATAGTATCTACATCAAACATTCAGGAAAAAACATAAGTCGTGGTAATCTTCGAGACTATATCGTTTAACCAGTTCTCCTATTTTGTGGTGGCCGTATTGCTAAAGATGCTGAATATCTATAAAGATCCTTTAATGCCTCAGCATATACCACAGTCAAAAGTACGATGTCAACGTCCTACATTGCATTGCACGATTATCGTACTCCAACTAGTTTTGAATGGTGAGAGTTCTAGAAATGTACCTGAGACAATATAATCTCATTAGGTCAAAATGATATTGAAGCCTAACTAGAGTGTTAAAAATTAGGTATTGTTTTACAATTCTAACGTGATCTTTCTATTTTTCGGTTCATTAGTATAAGGAATAGATTAGTTCAATACATATAAGCCAACAATTTGTGTTTTTAAATAAAGCAAGAACAAATATTGGTGCAGAATAGTATAAATTCATATTATTTCGAGGTTTCTCGTCAGCTGCTTACAAACCAAAAAATGTGATAGAATTTTTACATTGAGATAGAGTGAAAACAAATGACATAGATGAGTGTAAATAACTGGGTTACAATAATAACTATGCTAGAATAGGTCAGAGGTCAAAAGGAATTAATTCGGGTTGGGTGGTGTAATAATGGAATTGAATAATCATAAGATAGGTTACGTAATAATAATTAAATAGAATTTGAAAAGTTAAGATAATTTAGGAGGATCAGGTGGTGGAAATGCGTAAATAATAATGTGATTTAAGAATTATGTAATAGGGGAGGAATATAAATATTTTAGAATAAATAAAAATAAAAAATAATAATAATAATAAATGACATAGATGATCTCATTTGTTTTCACTCTATCTCAATGTAAAAATTCTATCACAATTTTTGGTTTGTAAGCAGCTGACGAGAAACCTCGAAATAATATGAATTCATACTATTCTGCACCAATATTTGTTCTTGCTTTATTTAAATTCATAAAGGGAACCAATTGCATGAAATTTTTAAAAAGCCGTCTCCCTGATCACATTTTTAAGTCACTTAACCGGTTGGTGGCAGTTCGTTGCAGGATATCGAGAGAAACAACAAGATTAAAGTTTCTGTTACGTTGTTTGAATGATGGCTGCTTTCCTCGTCATATTATTAAAGCTGTCCGTGTTTGCAAAATACCTCCTTCCTTAAAAAATCTTCGACGCGTCACAAAATCTCAAATTGAATGTACCAAGGAACTTATCTCAAAACTTAAAACAGAATCACTCGGTTATGACAAAATTATTATGGATCTAAACATTGTATGTAGAATCAAACTCATGAATTTCATTCACGATGTTCAGTCCAAAACCAGTCATAAATTCCTAAAGACATTAACCAAAACACTTGTGAAAGAACAAAAACATAACGCCTTTTCTACGAATCCAGAAAAATACGTACACAATTTATCCAGTAAAAAACTAACTCGAATTGAAACTGAAGCACTCTCCCTTGGATTTAAATTTCACATTCCGAAAAAATGCAACAGAATAGACACTGAAACCCAGTTTGAGTATTTATATCAACAGTTGTCAGAACTGAAACCCATGAACGATGAAAAACATAGTTGGTTGAAATCGAAACTAGTTGACATTACAAACCAGTACATAACGACACCAACCCCACAATCGAAAGTGTTGACTAAAGATCACCAACTAGCTTTAAAAAAACTTGTGAAAGATGAAACAATAATGCTACTTCGTCCAGATAAGGGTTCCGGTGTAGTCGTTCTTAACAGAGATGAATATATTAGTAAAATAATGTCTACTTTAAATGATTCCACTAGATTTATCATCGATAATACCCAGAAAGATTTAACAGAGACGACAGAGAAGCGACTTGTAAATAAATTGAGAGATCTCCTAAAGAGAAATCTAATAGATAATCATACATACAATGAACTTAAACCTAAAGGATCACAATTACCGTACTTATACGGCCTACCCAAAACTCACAAGCCCAATATCCCGATTAGACCAATATTATCCATGGCCAATTCGCCTTTCCATAAACTCGCCCGCTGGCTGACAAAGTGCCTTGAACCAATACGAAAGAAACTAACACCTTACAGTCTAAAAGATAGTTTTGAATTTGTACAAAAACTCGACAACCTAAATGTTTCCGATAAATTTATGGTTTCATTTGACGTCTCATCGCTCTTCACAAACATCCCCTTGGAAGAAACGATAGAGATCATATGTGATTATCCTGAACTTCTACCCCTACCAATCCATGATTTTAAACAGCTTCTCTTCTTATGTACAAAAAACATACAATTTCAATTCAATAATGTCCTTTACCGCCAAATCGATGGAGTTGCCATGGGTAGCCCATTGGGCCCAATTCTTGCCGATATATTTATGGGAAACCTAGAACAAAAAAAGCTTAAGCACGTAATCGATGGTACTACACTGTATTGCAGATATATTGATGACACATTCCTCGTCTGCAACAATCACGATCACGCCATTAAGCTACTCGATCTATTTAATAAAGCACACGAGGACATAGAGTTTACTATGGAACAAGAAGCTGAAGACAAATTCCATTTCCTTGATGTTGGGATCCGACGAACATCTGATGGTAAATTACATAGACATATTCACCATAAAAATACCTGGAGTGGTCTTTATCTCAATTACCACAGTTTCTGCCCAATGAGTTACAAAAAGGGTATTGTACGAACCCTTTTTGACCGCGCTCAAAAAATCTGTTCAAAAGAATACCTTGATGATGAAATTAATCTGATTACTAATGTTCTACGCGATAATGAATACCCATTGAAATTTATCCAGAAATATGCAAAAAGCAATCCTCATACAAAATACGATGGAGTAGAAAGAAAAACCTGCTTTTTACACTTACGTTTCAAAGGTGATGAAATCGCTGGAATAATCAATCACAGAATAAACTCTGCGTTGAAAGTCACCTACCCAGCAGCAAAACTTATGACAGTATGGCAAACGAACTGCTCACTTCAACAAACCAAAATCGACAAGCCCTCTTTTCTTAGTAGCTCCAACTGCATCTACCAATTTACATGTACGTGCCAAAGCACATACATTGGAAGAACTGAGAGAAGAGTGCATGTCCGCATTTCTGAGCATGTTCCAAAAAACTTGAGGCTGCGTGGGACCAGGGCTTTCAACAGTGCAATAGCTCGACATCTACTTGACACCGGGCACACCATCGACATTCCTCATGCTTTCAAAGTTATCAATAGACAAAGAAGTACGACCACCCTCCGTTTTGCTGAAGCTATTATGATCAAAAAACTTAAACCTGACTTATGCATTCAAAAAGAGACTTTAATTAACTTATCACTACCCTGGTAACCCTTTATTATTATTATTATTATTATTATTATTTTATTTTTATTTATTCTAAAATATTTATATTCCTCCCCTATTACATAATTCTTAAACCACATTATTATTTACACATTTCCACCACCTGATCCTCCTAAATTATCTTAACTTTTCAAATTCTATTTAATTATTATTACGTAACCTATCTTATGATTATTCAATTCCATTATTACACCACCCAACCCGAATTAATTCCTTTTGACCTCTGACCTATTCTAGCATATAAAAATAGTTATTATTGTAACCCAGTTATTTACACTCATCTATGTCATTTGTTTTCACTCTATCTCAATGTAAAAATTCTATCACATTTTTTGGTTTGTAAGCAGCTGACGAGAAACCTCGAAATAATATGAATTTATACTATTCTGCACCAATATTTGTTCTTGCTTTATTTAAATTCATAAAGGGAACCAATTGCATGAAATTTGTGTTTTTTTTTAGATCTTCATCGAGCTTTACTGTGATATACAGTCATATTTAAACTGATATATGGTAATATTAAAGTAATCAAGGCAGTTTATTTGTCAAGAATAACAGCGAAATACATTACACAAGTAAATATTTAATAAATGAAGTATACAAATCAACATTTTGAGTGCAAGTGTACTAACACTGAAAGTTGCTTAATATGTTTTTATGTAGTCGGTCAGTGAAGAATATATTCGAAAATGGGTTGAAGAAGAAATAAACAAAAAATATGGTGAATAATAATATGTACAATTATAAGCAGAAATACATGGTGGATAGCGGTGGAATTCAGTACGTGATGGCCTTCAAAGCAAACATTATTGTGTTTAAGTCACCGGATGAACATTAACTCTAGGATGTATGTACATCCACTTTATGAGTCTTAAACAAGACGAAGCGCGCCTTCTGAATTCCACTGCTTGCCACCATCCATCTATGCTTGTAATGCTTGTGATTTTGAGGCAGTATCGAAGTAATCAGTTCAAGATGCACATCTATCAACAAGAGACTGACCAACTACAGTCTTATACATCAATGGGAACGTTAAAACAACCAATACAGAATGAATTAATGCATAGAGTTGTTTGCTAAATCTAATTCTACTAATAAGGAATAAAGGTGCTGTAAATTTCTCATGAATACGGAGACTTTGTTTATTATCCCAAATCTCTATAGCTTCGTGCAACGAGATCAAGACCTCAGAAGAAGAAAATACGAGATAGATTATAAATAGCTATGAACTGTTTGATTGTGCTTACTTCATGACTGCTACAGATCAAATGTGCTAGAACTCAGCTACATTCTGTTTTTATTCAGCGTAAAACCTCATGGAAATCTGGAAACTATGTTGTTCGTTGATACTTTTATGTGAAGGAAAATTTTATTTTTCTTATTTCCGAAGTATACTGCATTAATATGATTAATAATACGACTACTGACCGGGTTTATACGACATCTAGACTGGATAATTGGTCGATATTATGTACATAGACTGGATTAAGTTACATATGAAACATGACTCATGGCGAGATATGGCTAACCAAAGTGCATGCTATACAACAATTTATTCAACTCATTTATAAAGCAGTCTACACCCAGTGAGTCTAATACAGGGGAAATCTCGCAATAAACAGCTAATATCTGTCCGTCCACGATCAACACTTAATCGCATCTTACTTTTGCTATCATACGTCATGTATTGTTCTAATTTAAAATACGGGAATTTTTACCACTTACCTAAACAATTCCACATTATGCCATTTAGAATCAGTAACACTATGTGCAGTCAATGCAAAACGTTGAGATCCGCTTCCCATGTCGAAGACGAAATGTAAATAACCTTTGATTAATTCAAATGCCAAAAAATCAACACCATATTTATCTGAGTTGAATAATATTAAACCGTGTTCCTGAGATGTGCGAAATGTAAACTGTAGACGGAATTTCTCGTACAAATGCATAGATGGATTATGTAGGTAACAATCGGATATTTTAAATGTTATGAAATTGATTGTTGTTTTCGCTTCGTTCACTGGCGTTGTTATTGATGTTGATGATAATGATGAATGATGGTAGTCGCCATGGCTTTCTACGATTTATTATTATGTAATTTGTGTTCTTCTCTAGGATGATATTGATTTGTAGTGTTAGCTTTATTGCATCAAATATTCAGAGATGAATAAAAAAAGGATAAATATATAATAGGTACTTATAGTCTGAAGAAAATATGACTTAATACATGATATTCGTGTACCTAAAATTCTATAAATCTTGATGTATACAGGAAAAACAATTACTTATTCATAAAATCACACTATCAATCCCAGAACTCCACAAAAGACGGCAGACAAATCAACAGTGGATCTCCACCTAGATTCATTGGTAAAAATATAGATTCGAAACAATAACATGAAGGAATGTCTGGAGCACTAGAGAAGATCGTTTGTATATTCCTTATGCAGCTTCAATTCACTTTATCTGCACACATATACAATATAAATCATTGCAAGCAAATCCCTCAATGATTATGTGTTTATAACACTAGATCAAATTAGTTACAATTTGTTCAAGACTATAGATATGTCTTACGAACTAGTATCAATTAATATGAAACCTAGATTCGGGGTTATCTGCCAATAATCGCTGCCCACCTTAAATAAAAAATGAAGTATATTGTATGAAAGTTAGAATAGTGCTATAGATTATACTGCTAAACATAATCAGTAGAGAAGGATAATATGGATCAGGATGATAAGTTCTCTATGAATATTATTATTACTATTAATATTATTCGTAGTAGTAATAGTAGTAACATCATAAATATAAATTATGATGGCAGAATGATAAAATAAACAGACATTTGAAAGTCGGAAGTTAGTTAGAGCTTAAGAACAAATGATTTGTATACTATGAAAAAAGAAAATGTTTAGATAACCAGTCCAAAATATATAAATAGCAACGACTGAACACGAAAAGCTGATTAAAAAAATAAACAAATAAATAGAGATCGAAAGAATCAGACAATACGTTCATTATATCTTCCCTGGTTAAGAAAGAAGATATAGGAATATGTGTGGAAAGACTAGAACTGTTTTTTTTTTGTGATTTTTATAAGCTCCTCAATATGTAGGAGGCAAGTCTGGAATTTAGTCGAGTAAAAATGAGAAAGAATATGTTGAGTGTTTCTAAATATTGATTTTATTTATAATGGTCACTATTGACAAAGTGTGATTGGCTTACTATTTTTTCTTACATGCATTTAAATAAAGTAGTGTTCTTGAGGGGGACATAATGAAAATCTAATTAAACAGAGTAATAATAGTTATAAACAGAAATGGATGGTGGTTAGCAGTGGACTCCTGGACGCGAGTTTGGTCCTATTTTGGACTCGTCAACTAGATGTATATGCAGTCCTAAACGTAAATGGAAATATTCAAACATCCAATACAAATTGAAGTACTAATGGATTTTGTGTTTCACTCTAACTTGTGCAATGTAGATTTTCCATATTTTAATAAATTAAAGTAAAATGTATGTAAATGAACTTCTATGTGGAACATAGTTAATATTGAATAGTTCATTACTTTTAAACGGGTAAGATAGTGTTTACTAGTGTTGAAATTCTATAAGCTTCGTCATGAATCCACTTTAACTTTCTCATAATATCCACAGCCTTACACCATTGAAAAATCTAGACGAAGATAACTTTCATCAATAACTGTGAACTATTTCAGAACGTCTATAGATCCATAAAGCATTGATTAGTTATTTATTGATATTATGGGTCATTTTATCACTTACTTCATATGTACGCAACTGTATTTGAGTAAGATTAATATTTAAAACTATGTTAGAAAGTAAAGTAGAACCGTAGTAATTATTCAGAATGTAGATGATTTTCTATTTCGCACATTTATACGCATTGAGTTAATACTTGATAATGGAGTTCGTAAAATAGTAAGTCTATCATTCAAGGGATATTTCAGCGTATTAGCCTTTGTTATTAATTGTGAAAACATATGATCTATTGTGGATCGTTGAGCGAAAATTAATCAAAGATCGTATACTTGAAGGCTAACAGTTTATTTTGTGAAAATTAATACATATCTTGGGTAGAGTCTGAACATCAACTTTATAAATTATGGTCACCTAATTCCGGAGAACAATTTCGTGATAAAAACACAGTTCAATATGAACATAATAATCAATTATACACAAAGATGGATAGTGGCTTGCAGTGGAATCCAGGACGCGCGTTTCGTCCTATGTGGGACTCGTTAACTGAATTTACCTGCATCTCAGAGTTGATGTTCACTCTGGGAATCAAACTAAGGTTATATCGAGACAATACGCGCAGTATGCACATATGCCAATAACAGACTGATCGATCAAAGTCCTAAACATTAATGGGAAGATTCAAACAAACAATACCAAGTGAATAATAATCGGTTGTTCGTACATATATATACGATCTGTAATTACAATGTTGGGACGTCTGATGTTCGCTGTTTACTTAATATTGTGTTCAACTACTTCTTAAGTAGCTCACGTAGAACACAATAAAAATATCCTCTCCTGATTATCGGAGTAAAACAAAATAAAGAATTATGAAATGAAAATTACTTACAAGATATTGTGTTTATCCGCTTGAAGTTCAATTGTGAATCATTTGATCGATTCATATTGTTGTGAAAATTGATTTGTGTTTTATAATTTGGTAAATCGACCTAGATAGTTGATCGGACAATGGAGTGAAAAGTAAAGCATATATATGTTGAAGATATTTAGAAAGCAAATGTTTTCAAAGAATTATTCATAATTATTTATTACAATTTTAATAGTTGAATTCATGAATCGACCACTGTTGAAAACTTGGAAGCATTGGATGGCCTTTTCGTCCTAATATGGGACTCCTCAACAGTGCACTTACACGATCCCGCATGCGGGGCCCAAACTCAGGACCTTAGGTTTCACGCGTGAACGCTTAACCTTTAAACCACTGAGCCGGCATCCAACGGTGTTAATGTCTAACTTCAATCGATCCATGATCTTGCGCAGTCCTTCATCCATTGTCCGAGACAGATACCTGTCTCTATCCGAGATGTGTTGAACACCAGTCGTTACGGCTTCTCTCTAGATCTCTAGGAAACCCATCTTGAAGTCAGTCATTAGTGAGCACATGATGATTACTATTAAATTGGGAGGTTTGTGGAGGTCGTACTAATTTTAATAGTTGAATTCATGAGTCAATCTAAGCTAGTGCTTCCAGGCTTTCAATGCTGTTATAGCTTAGATTGACTCATCAATTCAACTGTTAACATTACTACAATCTTCACAAACCCCCATTCTGATAATTATTTATAGTGTTTATAGTGTGCCGTACATATGGTTTTATTGAACGTCAAATACTTTTCGGTCACTCACAACGTAGAACCTGGTATTTATGTAAATCAGTTCGAGTTGCCATACCCAATTAGCACAAACAGATTAAACTGTTAGGCGAAATTGCAGAATAGTAGAGATGGTAAGATTATTAGTTGTAATAGAAAAGTTTAGTCATCCACGATACGATCCATGGAAATTTAAATTAGTGAAATTAAAACAAACAGATTGTGAGGAATCTAGAAACTCAGGATTTTGGAGAAGACAGAGGGTTTGATGTACCTGAGTCATTGAAGGATATCTTGCCTACTTCACAAGTGATGGAATTTAGCAAAAATCACTTGAGCTGTTTGAATCTATGCCGAGGTTTTGTCAAGCAATAGACTATCAGGGCTGCCGAAATTCCAAAGATAAGCAAAGCGATCAATACGTCCAACTTCTTCATACCCTATCGTTAATTTCAGACGCCGAATCATGTCAATCCTGAAGGAGAGAGAGAACCTAATCCGGAACATTCTTGTATCATTGCTTAAGGTGGTTAGAAGACTTCGCATAATGTCATCATCTTCATCAAGCTGAACTATATCATTTGTATTTTCTTATTCAACAAGTTGACATCCTAACAGAAAATCAACCCCCTAGAAAGTTAGATGATTAGAGTATTATTTCTGAATATATATATCTATGATAAATAAAAATGAATACGATGGACAACTCTAATGAACACTACATCAAGTAACCGATTCCGATGACAGTTCGTCATAAGCTCTAACTTGATCAGTAGTGTTCAAATAGAGATCCTGTACAAGACTAACATACTTTTTTGGTACGCCTATCAATGATCGACACTATCACACAGAACCTCACAATCAGCATAATACTTGAATCCAAAATTTCCATTACTTCTAATCAGTACAGAGTACTCGAAGTATTAGCTCTATTATTCATCAACGTAAGCGGTAAATTCTTCAACTCACTAAATAATCTTATCGTAAGGCTTCCCACTATTTATCGTTTGAACATAGTTTAATCAAAACTCAAAATCATTCACATTCTCATCATTTAAACTGTTCATTTTGATAAATCCATAGATCTACCTTGTTTCTAATCTATAATTTCATTGATGGTAAATATTCAATTGATGTATTTCAGTTATCTTAGATTCATTAAAATAAAATAAATCAGTCATTGTAAACGTTTTTCTTCAGTAATATAAATTCGATAAGAAAACAAAAACAAACAAACAACATTTGTCAATATCATATCAAGTGACAGTTTTAATTGAAACATAATACAATGATAAATGAATCAATGCAGTAACGAACTTTATTAATTAGAATGTTTTGTTATATTTTGGGAACGATATCAATGTACAACAAAACTATTGTGAATTATGGTAAATAATTAAGTTTGTTTGATAGTAATCAATTCTATATTTACTATGATCACTTCTATATGTAACTCACATATTGTTGGAATTTAAATTAAACCATTGTATGTTAATTTCATTTGAAGCTAGACCACCATGGAGAACCTGGAAGCACTGGACGGCAGTTTCTTCCTATTGTGGGACCCCTCATCAGTAGGCACGCACGACCCCGCCTCCTGGGATTCGAATCCGGCTCAGTGGTCTGGTGGTCAAACGCTCACGAGCGAGATTAATAGGCCCCGAGTTCGAATCTCGTTGGGGCGGAGTCGTGGATGCACACTGCTGAGGAGTCCCACAATCGGAAGAAATGGCCGTCCAGTGCTTACAGGTTTTCCATGGTTGTCTAGCTTCAACTGACTCATGATCTCAACTATTGAAATTATTACAATCTCCACAAAACCCCTTCTGATACAAATTGTCTTTTAATTCCAAAAATCACATTGACTGTTAGATACTGACTCTTCATTGAATGTTTTAAATAGTCTTAGAGGTAAAGAGACAAATGATCAACCGGCAAAATTTCAGAACTTTAAAAAAACTTATTTCTCTTTATGATGCTTGTCTTTATCAGTATAGTCACTCTTTTGCCTTCATCTTTATGAATAACTAACCAAAATAACGGGTTCATAATAATACGTTACAAATTTACTAACATAATGAACTTACAAAGGATATAACTAATGACTATAGATTTTATTGTGAAACAGTAAGGGAAACTGAAAATGTTCACTGAACAATACTATACATCCGAATAGAAATGATACATTGATAATATGAATAAGAGATAAAGAACTTTCTTTAAATAAAAAAAAAGATCCTTAAAAAGCTATTGAAGTTCAATCACTACTTATCATCTCTTATAACTGTATCAATAAGTCAATGTGAACTTCACCTAAAATGAATAAAACCAAATATTGCTTGGAATCAAACATATTCACGACATAAATAATTCATATTTATCGCATTGTTATTATTATGATTATATACCAGAATGATACAATCAATAATGAACAGCTTACTTTCAAAGATTGAAACATATTTTCACTTGTTTCTATACAAAGTAAATATTGACTAATAAAGACAATAATTATCATGTCATCAATAATACAGTTATACACAATATCATTGTCACATTACAGTTTACAGTATGTTCTACTTTTTTAATGAATGGAATTGAATCATTCTGAGAGAGAAAAAACGAGGACTGATGATACGAAGCACTAACTGATACAATGTCTATTTTGTTAATTTATCTATGATAAGAAAAGAAACAATAGACAATGAAATTAATATCCCATTCATATATCAATTATATATATATATATATATATATATATATATATATATATATATATATATATATATATATATATATATATATATAGTTAGATTTATGTATAGTTCGATCAAATATTATTACAATTGAATTGGACTAACGGTTAAGTCAGTATATTAACACGACTGAAACATGTTATAATTTGTATTTGTTTTAAATTACTGCCTTTCTATTTGACATTGTTGTAGTATTGTAAGCACTCTTTGATATACAGTAATTAAAACGTATTAACATGAATAAGTAGTAGTAGAGTAGTGAATCAAACTCCATTATCATATTTTAGCATTACTTTGTTTGTTCTTTATTAATAAGTAAGATCGCTGGGTGGTGATTAATGTCAGATACTTCTTAGTGCAGCTCGAATCCTATTGACCAAGTTGCAATGTGGCCAGTAGTCTAGGTGACTCGACATTGTGTGCACTATGTTGAGATAAGATGATGGTTAGAGGTAGTCAATAGGAACCCCTGGACCTAGGTTTCTTGCTACTTGACACTCGTCAGCAAGGTGTACCTGTAAGCTTGAGGGAACTAATGCTCTATGATGGATTCCATCCCGTATCACCCAGATTCACTGTCAGAGACGTTATTACCGACCTCCTGTAGGACTGAGATGTATTTATAATTGATTGATCACTAGGTGGCGATCAACACCATGTATGTCAGGTGCTTCTTAGTGCAGATCGAATCCTATCAACCAACTTGTAATGTGACCACCAGTATAGGTGACTCAACAATGAATTATAATTTATTATGCTCAATTTCATTACACAATGATATTATGTTAAACACTTACCTTTACTGTATTGTTTAACAATAATTTTCTGTCATAGTAAGACTAAGATTATAAGAACAATGTGATATATATTAACATGATATATTTGGAGCAATCTGATCACATACATTATGTTCTCACCCTAAACCTACACTAATAAATATTAAAATTGTTTTCCACATTATTTTCCTTGTTTTCTTCGTTTTCTCTTACCTTCTATATATCTAGTAGACTTTTTTATTATTTATATACAATTTACGTAAATCTAAAAAAAACAAAACGCTAAAAAATGTTGGCAAATAAACATTCCTAGTGATTTATATTTTAAAATTTGTCACTATCTGATGTTCATTTTGAGCAAATGATTATTAAAGCAATCGTTAAATTATATTAGGATATATTCTGTTTATTATAATCCATTAATTCATTAATATTGTATGTAGATATTCAACAGTCAGTCAGTTAGTAACAACATGGAACTTCGTTCGTACGTACATCAGTTCGAGTTGCCATACTACATTAGCACAGAGATGTGGTTGTCGATTCAAACCCATAATGATAGAGGTGGTACGAGTATAAGCAGTAATCGGAAGATTAAGGTTTGAAGATGTTATTCAAGGAGTATAATACAGTGTAATAAATTTGAAAAGAGGAATAAAGGGACATGAAAAATTTAGAAGACTAGAACTCGGGAGAACACAAACAGTGGATGCGCTTGCGCCATTGCAAACGATTTTGAGCCATATTCAACAGGTGACTTTTCAAACTTTTGGTAATAAATCAATCAATAATATTCGTAAACCATGTGTAAAACACTTTATTTCTTGATATATCACTTCTGAAAATAACAATAATATCAGGTCACTTGATTACTAAGATATGACTAAGTTAATAATCAAAACTTGCTGAATGAAAATTCTTTTAGTTGTGTAAATTATTAATATTGGCTTAGTGAAGTGTATATATTTTACAGAAATCTATAAGTTGAATAAAACAAAATATAGGTTGATAGGTTACATTTAATGGGTAATAGGTGTACACCTCTTTAAATTAAATATTAACAGGTTTGTTATTTATATATTGCATGTTATCTTTTCCGAATTCGTACGGCTAAATTCTAACCAGCTGAATTTTTGTTATTCATTATCACACTAAGAACAGTATTTTAATACACACTGTACTTTATGTAAATGTTTAATAGTGTTATAAACAGCCCAATAAAGTACACAGGTGATTATATTAAATATTGTCAATACCTCATAAAATAATGTCACTGGCACTAGTGTGGTGCGTGTTACTTATATTGATATAATTAGTATATGACGCGAGTCAGGAATGTAGTGTCTGGCAGCAGAAGATACAGGAAGATCAAGAAAGGAGGAGCGGGAATAGAAAGCAATTAGTATGGAAATGCAAGAATAACGAAGTTCGAGACAATTATTGAAAATTTTGCAAAGCAATTGATTTTGTGCTAAACATAGTTCGGTTGTCCTCACCTGTGTTCTCCTTCACTACACTAGTAATTGTAAATATAACATATTTTTTATAGTGGTTATCAGTAAAATGAAGGACACCCATTAAGACAAGTGAAGTCTATGTACCTGAATCTCAGTATTAACGTTTATACCTATCACTTCTAAAAAAATGCATCATTTACTAATAAAAAAACGTAGCTCACATAACTCCTGACATATTCAACTGAAATGAAAATGATATTTGAAACGATGTATCGACTTAAAGTGTAAATATTTCCGATGGAGAGTACACAGAAATAGTCCTAAATATCAAGAACTGAAAAATATAATTTCTTCCAATGAATCGATAAGATAATTGAAAAATAATAATGATACATTATGAAATTGACTGTAGACCTGGGTTTATTTTGCTTACATAAGAAATACCTTGTTTACGGCGTAAACATCCTGAGATACATCAATCATATACAGAATAAGATGAATATTCATTATAAATGCATAACATTCCTTATTTTAAATATTAATGACAGTAGTTACTATGTGGTATTTTAGTATTCTAATTTTATTCAGCTAAATTAGAGTAACACAGTTATTGATTATACTTGGCTGAATGATTTTGAGTTGTTTTTTTTACGTCAATACAATATTTACTACTTATAAAGTAATAAAATAGCAGATATTGGTTAGTGTTATACCGTTACTACATCTTTACACATTTTTTTAACGAAATATAAATTTCCTTTTCGAATATATTACATTATTTCTGAAGTTGTGAGTTCGATCCAGTGTGACAAAGTCATAGATGCACTCTAAACAAGAGTCCTATACTAGTATGTAATAGCTATCCAATGTTTCTTGACTTCCAAAGACTATCTGACTAAGATCAGAGTTGGTTAAGCGCCTGATACGCGACTGATAAAACCAGGGTTCGAATCCTGCGAGGTGGAGTGGTGGATGCACACTGCTGAGGAGTCCCACAATAGGAAGAAACGGCCGTCCAGTGCTAACAGGTTTTCCATGATGGTCTAGCTTCAATTGAATCATGATCTCAACTATTGAAATTATTACAATCTCCACAAAACCCCTTTTGATACCAAGATCAGAGTGTAATTATATCTATTAAAAAATTATGTATTTCTTTATCACTAAAATGATGTCGATTTTTAATATTCACATTGTTAATTCATTCAATATGAATTAATGTGACTTACAATGAAATAAGGAAAATGGGAAAAGAAACAAAATATTCTTTATTCATTCTCGTTTGGTAAATTAATTCTTGGATAGATCAACAATAACATATTAATTTAATCCAGAGTCTTAAAAAAAAAACAGCATAACAACATAGTTGCGAATCAAATTTTGTACAATTTGAAATACAATTGTATCAAACTGAACTCAAAATAAATTTCAATCATTGTAAGACTATTCTGACAGCTTGAGAAATTAGTTAATTGATTAATGTATTAAAGTATAAGTAAGTAAACGATAATCCCGATTAAAATGATTCAATTTTCAATGACACATTGTAAACTATTTGATGTTTCAAATCGGGTTTTCTGAATTTATTAAATATCTATGGTTTAAACCAGTATTAGGTTCATTTCGTGAATATATCTTCATCAATCAACTTTCGAATAGATTATTAATAGTAAAGATTGTTTTTATTTACGCATAAAAAATATAACGTTTTAACTATTTGATAAATTTTACTAAAATCATAAACCAATCAAAGTTTTATAACTGCTGAAAATTCGGGAACACAAGATGGTCGTTCCTTTCTAGTATGCGACTCCTTAACAGTGAGCATCCTTACCCAACAAGTGAGAACCTGACTTAAGATCTTTAGGTTTCTGTGTAAAATAGACAAGTATTATTGCGACCGTTTAAATTTCGGTAAAATCCAGATTGGTATAGTTGGAGAAACGTAATTAAAAAAACTGTGATTTCAGTTAGTTAGCTAATCATTTTACCATGCAAAATAGTCCTGTGCTAAACAGCATTGTATAATTCCTAATGATCTAAGTTTGTATATGAGACTATAAACTTAGCGAAATAAGTGTTCATAATTAGAATAAAATGATTAAAATTTTTCAATCGTTTCACATATTCACAAGTAGAAATCTTGGACGTATGAATGAGGTTTTTTGTATTCTTGTGGAGAATCTCATGACAGAAATGATAACTGAGAAACTTAAGATCTCGGCAATATCATAAGGGTTTTGTGGAGATTTTTAGGAACCTCAATAGTTGAAATCAATTGAATTTAGACCACTATGGAAAACCTGGAAGCACTGGACGGCCGTTTCGTCCTAGTATGGGACTCCTCAGCAGTACGCATCCACGATCCCGCCCCCCGCTAGATTCGAACCCAGGAGCTATCAGTGTTAGCAATAACTAATTGTTAGTATGCCTTAGTTTAATCATTAAATGCAAATAAAGGTCATTTATTTGATTACGGTTATTATTATCGCTTTGAATATTTATAGATTATTAACCTGTTACATACTTCTTTTAAAAGTCAATTTGTTTTCATTACGTGTTTTCTATGATGTAGATGTATATCCATAAACACTTTGAATAATCCTCGTGTACTAAATTAACTGACAGCTTTCTATTATAAAGAAATATTTTCCATTCATATAAGGAAAATAT